ATAGTGAAAAAAATAAACATAAAAAAAGAGGGAATAAAAATAAAAAATAAGAAATAATAATAATAATAATACTCAAATGCAAATAATTATCTAGCGTGAATAACATAAATAAAGCAAGTTTTGATTATAAAAAATAATAATATTATATAAATAGTGAAAAAAAATAAACATTAAAAAAATATATATATAAATAAAAAAATAATAATAAGTAATAATAAAATAATAATGAGACAAATACAAATAATTATCTAGCAAGAACAACATAAATGATAAAGTTAATTAAAGCAATAAAAAATAATACTAAATATATATATATATATATATATAAATAATAATAATAAATGATATCCTACCCCTTAAGCAGCATTGGGCACGAGGGGATGGCCGGTGTTCCGTTGCGCGCTGAAATCAGGTTGAAGTCTTGATGCGGGGCGGCGGATGAAGGCGATCGACGGAGGGGGGGCGTGCAGAGCGGTGCGCGTACCAAATTGTTCACAGTGTGCCAAAACACGAGAGAGAGTGCCAACGGGTCCCAGCGGCGGCGGGCATCGATGCGAGGGAAGATCTCGAAGCGTCCGCCGTCGGATAGTAAGGAAGTGTCGTTTTGTGGCCAACCCCCTTTTCTTTAAATCTTTCTGTTTTCGGTCGTTTTTTTTTTTGTTTTTTTTTTTTTCATTTCTCTTTTATTTTATCCTCCGTTTCTTTCTTATTTTCGTCTTTGTTTTGGCGGCCTCTTTTTCCTTTTTGCCATTTTCGACGGTTTTGTTTTTCGTTTTTGCGTTTTCGTGCGGGCGGCGACAAAACAAAAGAGGCGGTTTGGGTGGGGAAACGAAAAAGAAGAAAAGTCGGAGGGCCCGCCCGGCCACCGACGCACACACCCACACACTCTCGCCCGCCCGACCGCCCACCCACACACCACGCACACACCCGCCCGCCCACACAAGCATACACACACACACACACGCATGCACACACGCACACACACACACACACACAAATATATGTTAGTATTAGTATTTAAAGCTTGCTCACAGTGGTTGTGGTCGGGTCGGGGTTTGAACCCACGCACAAATTTTGAAATACCCAATTGCCCGATGAGATACCCGCTCAGGTGGACAGGGTCCCTGTTTGCTTTTGGGGACTGGTTTCCTTTCAAGTGTATCCGATGTGAGGCTGCTGGCACGTCATGATGTGCCTGTGTGTCCGAAACCTAACGTTGCATAGTGTGGCAGGCGGGTCCAGTCCTGCAATTTTCAAGCGCCAACTTGGGCGATTTTTCGTGCTCAAAGTAATTAATCAAAAGATATGAAATTTTCAGATCTTGTAGATAGATTCCGCTGTTTTAGAAAAAATATTGAAAAAATTACAAGAAAAAAAAAAAACGTGAAATAAACGTTGCGCCGATTCGTTGTGTTTTCGTTTTTTACCGCCCTACAACGTGTGGGCCAACGGAGAAACTACCCCAAATTCTGTGATTTTTAGTGCTGAGAAGAACGACTCGAATCCGCAAAAAGTTGAAGGGTCTGTAGGTTTGGTCTTAATCTTTCAACAAAAAATGTTTAAAAAAAAAGAACGTTCAGACCGCAAAATAAATGTCGTGCCAAATCGTCTCATTTCCCATTCTTGGCACTTTACCTCGTGTGGCAAGTGTCTGTGTGTCCGAACCCTAACGCTGCACAATGTGGCAGACGGGTCTAATACTCGAATTTTGAACCGCCAAAGTTTGCGAATTTTCGTGCTCAGAGTAATTGATGAAAACATCTGAAATTTTCAGATCCTATAGATCAGATTGCGCTCTTTCTAGAAAAAAAATCAGAAAAATAGAAAAAAGAAAAATTGTGAAATAAACGTCGTGCTGATTCGTTGTGTTTTTATTTTTCACCCACGTACGAGGTGTGGGCCAACGGAGAAAGTACCCCAACTTCCACGATTTTTAGCGCTTAGTAAAACGACTCAAATCCGCTGAAAATTTAAGGCTCTGCAGGTTTGGTCTTTGATCTTTTCACGAAAAATGCTTGAAGGAAAGAAAAAAAAACGTTAGAACCGAGAAACAAAAAACGTTCAAACCACAAAATAAATGCAGACCCAGCCACTCCAAGCACCTACTACTCACGGAGCCACTCCAAGCACCTATCGACCGAGCCACTCCAAGCACCTACCCACTGAGCCACTCCAAGCACCTATACCGACCGAGCGACTCCAGGACCTATACCAACCAAGCCACTCCAAGCACCACTACAAACCGAGGCACTCCAAGCGACTACCTCCGAGCCACTTCAAGCACCTACCGCCCGAGCCACCCCAAGCACCTACCGACCTCCCCACTCCAAGCACCTCCCCACTGAGCCACTCCCAGCACCTCCCCACTGAACCACTCCAAGCACCTATACCGACCGAGCAACTCCAAGCACCTATACCGACAGAGCCACTCCAAGCACCTATACTAATAGAACCCCTCCAAACACCTGTACCGACTGAGCCACTCCAAGCACCTATCGACCGACCAACTCCAAGAACCTATTGACCGAGCCACTAAAAGCACCTTAAGCCACTCCAAGCACCTGTCGACCGAGCCACTCCAAGCACCTACCGACTGAGCCACTGCAAGCACCTACCCGCCAAGCCACTCCAAGCACCTACCCACCGAGCCACTCCAAGCACCTACC